GTGGCTATATAGGCTCCGGCTATTAACCGGAGGTACCGGTTCTATACCGTTATAAGTGCCGTTACGGGGCTATACCGGGGGCCAGCCCTTATCTTATAGACGGTTAAGACGTAATAGGCGATTATTAGCCATATTACTACGAGGTATAGTCTTCTTATATCTATAAAGCTATACCCCTATACTACCGCGCTAAGCCTTAAGAGGGCGTATATTTAGGTAATTAGTCGGCTTTTAACCTTTTTAGTATTTTATCGGAAGTTAAGCTTCCTATTAAGCTAAACGCGTAGGAGCCTTATCGCCTCCGCCACCGGTATTAAAGTAGCGCTAAGGGGAAGCGGGGTAGGTAAGGGTTAGCGTGACTTCGTGAAAGAGATATAAATATACTTAGCTAGTTCGAACTATAGTCCGCTCGCGATCTCCTAGTTTAGGTATATCCTCTATACGGCGGCGAGGCGTTACCGCGTTTATACCTCTATCCTACTAAAGGCGATAATATTCGTATTATCGGTAAAACCTACTACTATTATTTTAGGGACCCTTTTTAGCTCTTCGTATAGGGTAAAAATATAGAGGATAAAGAGGATAGGGGAGATCGGGGAGCCTTATAATACGCCCGTATAAAGGTACCGCGGGGGGGTTATTTCGCTATTAAGTAGTAGTTAGGCTATACGGCCCTAGAGGAAGCTGCTAATTAAGGTATTAAGCTACCGGGAGTAGCCTTTCCTTTTAAGCACTTTGATAAGGCGGGAATAGGGGATAATATTAAAAGCGCCTTTAATATCTAGTTAGAGTATTAAAGCGGTACCGCTATAGGCCTAGCTTACCCTTACGGCCTCCATAGCTCTTTATACTATCGTCTTTATACTTCGCCCTATCCGGTTACCTATCTATCCCTCCGGGAGGAGCTAATACTCCTCCGCTATAATCGCGATCTGGTCGGCTAGTATCCCCTTAAGGACCTTACCTATTATGCTAAGGAGTAATATCGGTTATTAGCCCTTTACTATCCCGTAATCGGCCGGCGGCCGGCCTTCTTTCTTAAGGACTATTATAGTTGCGTAGCGGTACCTTTTCGGGTAGTAGCTCGCTTTAAGACACGCTATAAAGATAGCACTAAGTCTTTAGTATAGGGGGGGTCTATATACTTTTAGGAGCCCTACTAGGAGTCTATTAGGACCTAATACCGTTTAGGGTTTTATTTTCTTAAGGCGCCCCTATATATCCGTTATGGTAATATCTTAGCGGATATCCTATCCCGGGGGGATTCCTCGCTTAGGGGCTTAGGGGCGGTAAGGAGGGGGGGGGGGGGGAAGAACTTCCGGTTTAGGACCTCGGCCTTCTCTGCGTATATAGTTATTAGGTAGTCGTTATTATCTTAGTATAGTGGTAGCGCCGATAAGGGGTCTAGTAATACGCCCCTTTTAGTTTATGCTTATTTGTATAGCCGCTAAAGAAGGCTATCGTCCTTCCCGGTTAAGTAGAGTAGGTGCTATTAGTATATCCGCTTCGCTACCGCCACGGCCTTATCTTAGCGCCTCTCCGCTTCCTAGAATTTATTCTATCGGTTCCGGGACTTCCTACATATATATCTACGGTAGAGGCGCCTTACTTCTTAGGTAAGGGCGGTTAGCTCCGCGTTCTACTAAGGGGTGGATAGACGTTTAGGGGTGCCCCTATAGCGGCGCGGCGCGGCCTTATCGGCTATAATTATAAGCTCAACTATTAGGTTATCTAGTACTAAGTCGATATCTTCTAGTAATATAAGGGGGCCGGTCTACTATAGCCGCGTAGTAGCGAGCTAGGGGACCTATAAGGGGTTAAAGTCTTTTTAGACTTAGTAGAGCCCGGCTAGGTCCCGCGGTAGTATTATCGCGGTGGTCGGTAAGGTATCCGTCTTCATAAGAATTCGGACTATCTATAAGTAGTAGTTAGACACGATAACGGTTTTATCCGGGCCGCTAAAGTCGTAGCGGAGCCCTTATATTACCTACATAAGGTTAATAGTGCTTGTATACTGGCCCGGGCGGTACTATATAGTTATTCCGGGGGGGTTATTAGGTTAAGGTTCTACCGGGTTATAAGGGTAAATAGGGTATCGGCTTAGGGGTAGTACCGTGGTGGCTATAACTATAGGGGGTAGCATAGGTTAAAGTCCCTTATAAGAATATATCGGCCCCGTGGCAGTGCCGTGTTAAATATATCTTATAGGGGCGTATTCTAGGGGATCCTAGCCGACTAGTAGTTTTCTGAGTAGATTAATTAGATTATAAGGGTATTATCTCCGGTCCCGAATATAACCGTATAGGTATCGTGGTAGGCCCGCTATATCCATATATATAGCGGGTATCTATTAGAGATATATAGGAGGGCACGGCCTCCTCCTTAGATTAGCCGGTATACCCCTTAGGAGGGGTATACCGGGCTTTTCGTAAAGCGGTTAAGGCCGGGTTCCTAAATTACTATTATATCGTACTTAGCGCGGTACCGGAGCGGTAGCTCCCGCTACGCCTAACTCCTCTCTATATTCTATAAAAGGATATAGATTTCTATTAATTAAAGGGGGGGGGGAGGTTAAGATAACGTACCCGGTATAACCGGGGTCTAGCTCTAGGGTTCCTACTATAGTGCCTTATCGGCCCCGCGGGGGACTATATAGGCGCTTATCGGGCCTAGTATTAGGGAGCCCTCCTATCCCCTAGTCCTTTTCGGGGGCCGACCCCTACCTTTATACAGGGGTTAGTCTTAGTCCTAGGCGATAATAATTAGGGGGAAGATTTACGGCTACCGCGGGTATACCGCTTCGGTCTAACGGGTAATATTAAAGTCCCTGGCTTAGTACTTATACGCCTTACGGGTCTTTTTAGCCTCCTTCTTTAACAGTCGGTATAAATCGTTAAAGGTATTATAGTCTCCGGTATAGGCGGCGTAGCGGCGGGGGCGCCCCGGCGCTATAGCTTTATAATATCCTAGGCTTTAAGGGTATACTAATTCGGGCTTAGCGTAGTAGCGGTATACCCTCTCCGTTATAGGGTAGCCGTTCGCTTAGTAGCTACAGTATAGGTATTTATAGTACCTTAGGGGGCTAAGGTTAGGGTTATATAGTTTATAGATATAGCTACCCCCCTTAAAGAGGAGGGTATTCCGGATAAAGCTTACTACCTTTTCCGGCGAAGCCGATTCGATAAGGAGGAGCGCTACCTTACTAGTACCGTAATAGGGTACCCGTTATTATACTCGGATACTTTTTACCTTAGGGTTTATATCTTATAGGGATACTAGTAGGTCTTTTTCGGATAGGGCGCTAAGGACCTCCTAGGGAATAGCTTTAGCTAGCGTAGGGTACGTGCGTATAGCTAGGGTAGCTCCTTTACTAAAGGCCTTCTTAATCTATTATTCCTTATAGGTGGCCTACCACTATACCCCTTTAGTAAAGGTAAGGTAGATATCTCCGCATAGTAGCTTCTATGCTATTACGGTATTATATCGGGTAGTCGTGGCGTTTATAGCTTAGATAATCTCCTTTAGGGTCCTATCCTTAAGGGGCTAGTCTTCGGGGAGGGTTTCTTAGCGGATAATTAATTCCCGGTAATACCTAGTAGGGATTACCTTAAGGGGTGCGGGGTCCCGTAATAGTACTACTACGGGAGCCCGGGCTACGATATTAGCCTAGGTCTTTTTCGTGCTATTTATCCCTTTTCGGAGTTCCTCTCGGATAATATAACGAATAATAGCGTATAGGTGCGTTAGCGGTATCGTACTAGTATCCTTACGGGTACTACCTATCGTGATTAGTTCTTTTACTAGCTCCACGACCTAGTTAATTATATTCCTATTAGCTAGTAAGGCCTAAATTTCTGCGCTAATCTTAGTTACTCTTAGTTCTGGGGGGCGTAGTAGTCCCCTTTTAGTCTTATATCGGTTCCGCGCTATATCCTGCCACGGGCGGGGGGGGGGAGCGTTTATATTACGAAAAGTGGGTCCGTTACGAATTCTATATAGTCGAGGTCGGGGCGACGCTATCCTATAACTCTTCCGGCTATCCCGTAGCGCTAGTATTATAGTAGCGCTACGATAGTATCCCGGGAGGGAGGTAGTAGTTATAATCTCTATCCCGATAGTTTTATCGATTTTACTCTTATTGCGCGCCCGTGGTCGCTGCCGTTAGATCGATAGTGTAGTATATAGCACGATAATAATAAACGCGCTATTACTCCTACGAGTATAACACGGGCCTCTAAGAGGCTTAAGACCACGGCTACCTTATTTATTATTATAAAGCGTAATTAGAGAAAAATAATTATAATCTAGCATTATTATAATTAAGTTATAGAAACGATTAGGATTTATTTAGCTAGTAATTACTAGGCTTTTACCCGATATATTATATAACCTAACTATTATATCCTGAATAGGTCCGGAAATAATCCTGAAATAATCCAGTTTTAATTCCCTATATGCACTAGCAGCGATTTAATTCTACTCCGTCCCGCTAACCTTACCCGATTATTAGTATAGGCTTAGCGATTAATAGTCGGGCGAGAAGCAAAGACTATAGTAATAGTCAGATTAGGTTAAATCTACGCTAATAGGGGGGCAATAGTTAGGTCAGCAGGGGGGGACAATAGTCAGTTGAACTGTAACCTCTTTATAAGTGCCGCGGTTACACCGTTTCGGTCTAGCGGGTAACATCGAAGACTAGCTCGGTGGGGTGGGCACTTATATGATATCCTGTGTGGGGAGAAATCCATCCCCGTTACGTAACCGTCAATCTCACGGCCTGTTCAACAATCCCTACGTGGAGACAAAGGCCAATACAGAGGTACAAGCAAAACACTTGCACTCTGAAGTTACATGTCGCTTCTCACCAACCGGCTCCCTTTGCCCTTCCTGGACTTTTGATGAACAAACGACATCCGCAATTGCGAAATACAGTGTCAGAACGGCCAAATACTACGAACGGATTCAGAGCATTTCCTGTTACGCCAAGGAACTATTCAGAAATGGACTTCGGCAACTTAGGGAAGAATATCTCGTACGTCCAACTACCAGGATGTCACATGCATTTTCGTGATGTCTTCGCGTCCTGACGAGCAATGCATGGAATCACAGTTCCTTGAGTGCACAGATCACTCCTTTTGCCTCCCGTACATTTCAGTATACGAAAGAGCAGCTGGGGCAGGCGGAGGAGAAGGTAAATATATTCGACGCCGCGGTCTTCACCTGGTTTGGAAGCCATGTTGACCGGACTCCAGACACAGCTCCCCCCTGACTACATTGACCTTGAAAAGCGGGTTGATGCTCTCAAGACGGTCCACCAAAAGATGCTTGCGGTGACGTGAGTAAAGGTTCCCTGTTTGTTACGACCCTCTTTGTTTGCGCTGAGACTGATCTCGACAGTTCGCAATATTCGAACGAAGCATATGACTACCCTCCCAACATCAAGGAGACATTCCAGGACCTGGGACGCACTGTTAGCGAAAAAGTACACCTTCTCACCACGGCTAGCTCCCCAGCGGAGGCCCAAGCCGCCTTGACTGCCCTTCCAACGGCGAAGCCCCAACCAAAGACTTTCAGCCATGCCATGGCCCGCGCCAGTCTTGCGAGCAGCCAAGTACTCCACCAACAGCACACTGGTGTTGGCGAACATCCTCTGGCAGCAGCACTCGAGAAGTACGCCTTGGCGCAGGAGCGCGTTGGCGAGGCGCGCTTGGCCCAGGACGCACAGATTCAAACCCACTTCCTGAATGCCTGGACCACTACCTTGAACACCAACCTCATGTTTGCCAGCCGTGCCCGAAAGAATGTCGAGAAATCCCGCTTGAATCTTGATGCCGTGAAGGCTCGTGCCCATGGAACTACGTGGCAGCTTGGGCACAGCTCATCGCGAGCGGAAGAGCCTCAGTCCCACGAATTAAGTTCCGAGGCTCAAGAGGAGGTTGAGAAAGCCGAAGATGAGTTTGTCACACAAACGGAAGAGGCCGTGGCAATCATGAAGAATGTCTGGTTTCCATTCCTGATTTGGCGGGGTGAAGTAATTATTGGGTTGTGGCTAATTTAAGTTACGCAGGTCTTGGACACTCCCGAACCTTTACGGAACCTGGCCGACCTCATCGCCGCTCAGATCGAATACCACAAGAAATCATACGAGATCCTGAGCGAATTGGCGCCTATTGTAGATGGGTTACAGGTAGAACAGGAAGTGCGTTGCTAATCGCCATCATGGCGCCGTGGGTTCACCCGTTACTAACCGATATACACAGACCAGCTACCGTACGAAGCTTGACAGCACATCCTAAGCACTCACTATGTACCGAGTGCGGATTATCTACTTTCTTTCCTCTGCCAAATAAGGAAGCGCATCGCGTTCAACGCCGGCTCTTGTATTTTACGAATATAGAAAGTCCTGGCCACCCTAAATAAGCTATTCAAGATATATATTCGTGGCTTTCCACGGACATAATAATATAGGACTTCTTTCTAGCCTTATTCTTTAATAGGTCTTCTTTCTTAATAGTATATTAATTATAGTATTTTATTGTTTATTACTATATTCTCGGTTACCTAGACTAGGCTGGCTCTCTAGGTAGATTTTTCAATTTTCTAAATATAAAAAAAAGACTTAACTAAATCAGAGTGTTATATTTAGCCTACTACTAGGATCCGACTACATACCGGATCTTCCTAGACTATTAAACAAGGCCGGATATATCTAAAGCTGCCTCCGTCTTTTAGAGTTTAACTTAAACCCGTTCTAATAGTATCACGATACCGCTAACCGTTACCTTAAGTATTATAAGTCCACTAAATTACTATACCTTCGGTTCGGACTATAAGAAGACCTACTAAATCACGCCCTTTTTTATAATAGTAACGCCGTCTTTACTAATAATCGCTATATAAGGTATAGCTTATAAGGGTATACGACTTTACTATTCCGTAGTTAGATTAAGTCGAATGCTAATAAGCAAATAAGGGTTATAACCTTTAGTAATAAAGTAGAGCTCGTGGCTTTAACTAGTTCTATATACTAGTATATCGCTATAATATTTAATAAAGGAGCTATCCGTGACGTTTAAAACAGAGCTACTAATAATCTTCTATAATAAGGACTAAACGCCTTAGTTATTAGGAAGCGCTCGACCTTATATTACCTCGCGATTAAAGCAAATCGATATCTACGCGTTAGAGATTTAGCAGGTTATTTAATAACCTTAAATTAAGGTTAAATAGACCCTTATAGGCGAGATAGTCAGCGACGGATTAACAAAGGCGTTAACGCTATAAAAGTATGCTTAATTCGTGTACATTTTAGGAATAGAGATCTGCCTACGCGTAGACGATTAACTAGAGCGATCAACGCTCCTGCTATTTTAGTTCCTGGTTTTATAACGATCTATAGAGTAACTACGTTATTTTTAACCGAGTTCTCAGTTTGGATACGTGCTTTTTAATAAGCCGTTGAACCTAGGATTAAGGTCTAGGTATAGTTACCCTGGATTTCGGGTTTCAGAACAGTTAGAATTAATTCTATAGTTCTAGGAGGGTGTGTTAGTGCTAACTATAATTCTATAGAGAGATACCTTAAGGTATTTATCTAGATAGCTGCAGGGACAGGTTATATATACCCGGCGACCTCCGGTACTTACTATAGACTACTCTGTACCTATTGCTTAGTATATATATCGCACCCAGATATATACTCTGAGCCTAAAGAAATAAAACATAGACAATTCCGTATATACCTTAACTTAATTATTATAATACTATATAACGTGTTGCGTAACCGTTAAATCCCTCGATAGCCTTAGCGATTATCCGGTATACTATCACGGATACTAAACGGATTGATAACTAGGATATTACTATAATCGAGTAAACCCGATTAGGGGTCGCGATAATACCCCGGAACGCGAAAGTATAATAGAAGATACTCGATACGAGGGAGGAGGTTATATCCCATGTCAAATTGTACTTATATAGCAATCCTAATTAAGCAGAAGTCTCGTGTGTGTATATTATATTAAGTTATATCTATATAAGTCTCTTATGCTCTTAATTTGAGTGGTGCAGACTCTATGGTGGATACTATATTATTTAGATTCTATCTGGTCTTTCCAGGTATCCGCCCTTATTATATCCTAATGCCCGAGGCCCGAAGCTCTTAGTCAGGCATAGTCCTATACCTATATAGCATATTCCCTTAGTGAAGGTCGGTCCTTCTAGTTCAACTAACCAATTAGAGGCCTCGGTTTAAACCAGAAGCACTTAACTTTTCCATCGTAAAAATAATAGTTAGTGGAAAAATGCTCTTGTAAAAGGGATCTAAATCCGTCCTTTTAACCGTTTAACTCAATTCTGCCGTAATTAGTTCCTCGCTCCTAGTTAGCCTAATTAGCTTAATCGGATCTATATTCATCGGATTTATCATGCTCTTAGGGGCTATTATCGTCGCGGCTTTAGCCCGCTTAATCTCTTCGTATAACCGTTTTAACCACTTAATACAAACTTTTTCATGTGTTAAAGTATGCTATTATTATAGTTATTTACTTTCCGCGTCCGGTAACGCCTCCGTTAATTCGTCTACAATTATATCCTCCCTATTAACGTATATAACCCTAAAGAGTCCTTACTATATTAACTAGCGCGCCTACTAGTTATATATATCGATATAGTATACCGTTATTGGCAGGCGTTATGCCTTCTTATTAACGAGGTTAATAGTCTGCTAAGTATTATAATATAGCTATAGTTACTATTAATCTAACTAAAGCTTTAAATTCCTTAATATCCGACGAACGAATAACGTCTCCTTAGCCGCCTCTACAAATGTAAACAGTTCTAACTCTATTAATAACATCGTAATCGTTAATTACTTACCCGCCTTCTAGTTAATAGTTCCGCCGAAGAGCTGTATAGTGTATCCTTATAAAGTCTTACGGTCTAGATTATCTCCAAAAGACGCGTCGCTCGAGGTTAAGAAGGGTCTATCCCCACCGAATTCTAGGAAGTAGTGCCTTATATAGTATAAAAATAGCAGCACTTATTAGGCCCTTTTAAGGTGGTTAGAGAAGGGGTCAAGGTTATATTAGGAAAGCTTCGAGTAGGCGAACGCGATATTAGGTCTTATTATAATAGCGGTATACAGGATTAAACCGATTATACCCTAATACTAGCGGACCTCTAGGATTAACGCGCGGGGTCCGTCGCGTAGTATTAACGGATTTATAGATAATAGGACCTTTAGTGGTTTATAATAAAGGATATCTACATAGTATTTAACCGCAATCTTCTCTATATAGGAGGCTTATAATAGCTATAACCTAGCGGTTGCTTTATGCCTTAGAGCCTTAATCCCTAGGAACTAGTAGATCTCTTTGCCTCTAGATATATTAGAACTTCGCTTAAGTGTATCCTCGAGGTCGTTAGCATTAGTCTTATAATCTTTATAATAGATAAGTCGTATATCGTTAACATAGAAGAATAGGGTTAAACCGTCATGGATTATAATATGAGGGTTATTAAGGATAGCCGTGAATCCTATCTTCTATAGCGTGCCGCTAAATTCCTCTTACTCTAATAGTAGCGATACTCTTAGGCCGAAGACGGCTTTTTATAATAAAAGGACCTTACCTAGGACCTTATAGCCTTATAGTATCTTTACAAATACTTCCTTTTCAAGGCTCGCGTTAATAAACGCGTTAACGGCGTTGAACTACCTTAACTCTAGGTTAAATCGGGCGGTAATAGCTACTAGTATATATAAGGACCGCGAGGCTAATATAGCAGTGTAGTTATCTTTAGTTTCTAACCGTTTTTATTAATCTATAAGACGTGGCTTAGACTTAGTGAGGGTCTTTTCCTTACTATACTTATAAGTCTATACCTATCTATAGGCGATGACTTATTACTTATTAGGCTAATTACTACTTACGTCTTTCTAGTAGCCTATCTATTAGTGCCCCTCGAGGAACCCCCCCTTACCCTATAACTACCGCTCCCATAACGGGTAGAAGCGTATATCGCAGTAGTAGTTTAGCGGAGGCAGGAGATCCTCGCGGGTTAGTTATAATAACGGCTAGGAGGTATTTAAGGGATAGAGATCTATAGCGCTAATATTATCATTAATAGCTTACTTCCTTATACGTGTAGCGTTATAAGTCCTTTTAGCGTTAAAGAACGTCCTCTAGGTATTATCGTTCTATACCTTCTTAGTTATATAAAGGCTTACTATAGGTCTTATATTAGATAGGCGCGCGGGTAATACGCGAGCGACTAATAGACACCCCCTAGGAATATCCGCGGCCGCCCGGTATTAGTTATCGTCTTCTTCCGCTTGCGCGCCCCGAACCACGGCTAACGCTATAAGTCGGACCACCCCCCACCCGCCCACCCCCCCTAACCGCCAACCAAACCACACTAAAAAACGGGATTTCGGACCCCAGTTATTTCACTAACCGTAAAAGGAAACCCTATAAAATTAAGATAGTATATAGACAGTGATACAGTTATTATATATATGACTTTATCTTTTCTATATACTAAAGCTATAAGCTAGAATTAGACATAGAAGTTACCTGTTCGTATCTACTAGTATTCTCTAATAAGCTATTAGTAAACCTTAACAGAATAAAGAATTCTATAACAAACTAACGGGACTAAAGTACCATAGCTACTATATCTTAAAAATCTTATGAAATTCGATATAGGTTATATTATAGGTTAGAAGTTTCTACTATATATAAACTCTTAAGTTATTTAAGAAAAGCTTTTCTCCTAATCAACCTTACTATAGGAGAAACTTAATTCTAATATAGTATATTAAGGGTACTATATTTTATATATTTAACCTTACTTTTAGATAATCTATGACTTCTAAAATTCTTGAAGATATAGTAGCTATAATATCATAGTTCCGTTAATTTATTATAGACTTTCCTATTCTGTTAAGTTTTACTAAGAAACTATTAGACAGCACTAACAGGTGACTTCTAGGTCTACTTCTAGCTTATAGCTTTAGTATATAGAAAAGATAAAGGCATATATATAAAAACCGTATAACCGTCTATATACTGTCTTAATTCTATAGTGTTTCCTTTTACAGTTAGTGAAATAACAGTGGTCGAAATCCCGTTTTTTGGTGTGGTTTGGGGGGCGGTTAGGGGGGGTGGGTGGGTGGGGGGTGGTCTAACTTAAGCAACGCACACGTAGGATCTTCCGGGAATATTAGAGGCGTGGGAAACGGTTTAAACCTCGTAGTGGTAAACCGTGGAATATCCGTAATAATAGCGGTCCCCGT